ATTAATATTATTAGTGTTTGGATAGCATCTTACAATCTTCACTGGAATCACAGTGTCCCTAGATGTGTTAATTAAGTTAATATGTGATGGTGCTGACCCTCCTTTCCATATCCATGTCCATTTCAAGCTCCTCTAGCAGTATATCCCAGTCTCTCACAGTGGTGTTAATAGGAAGTCTTTGTATACAATATCTGTATGTGGGCTGAGATAGACCATATCTATCAGATTCAATTAAATTCTATTCAATTTTATTTATATAGCGCCACATCACAACAACAGTTGTCTCACAGCGCTTTCCAAACAGAGCAGGTCAGACCCTACTCTGAAGTTAATTACAGAAACCCAACAATTCCCACCATGAGCAAGCACTAGGCGACACAGGCAAGGAAAAACTTTCTTTTAACAGGCAGAAACCTCGAGCAGAACCATGGCTCAGGGTGGGCGGCCATCTGCCTCGGCCGGTTGGGGGTGAGGGAAAGAGAGGGCAAGAGAGAGGGAGAGGGCGAGAGAAGGACAGAGGGAGCAGAGAGAGGCAGCCAACACAGCAACACATAGATTAGATGAAAAATGGCATTGGTATTAATACTAATGATAATGGTAGAAGTTATGACAGCAATAACACTATGCAGAGTAGTAGCAGAGCAAGAACACGGGGGCAGCAGGAAACTCCCAACCACAGATCCAGACTCCACAGCTCTATGAACACCTGCAGGACGTGATAGGAGGAGACTCCCAACCACAGATCCAGACCCCACAGCTCCAGAGCCAGGAATATCTGCAGAAAGTGTTAGGAGGAGAGAGCAGGGGGACGAGAAAGTACACGACTACGGGGAAGGGAGAGTCCAGTTAGTAACATTGTTAATGGAATGAAGTTGCACTGGGAGGGAGAGAGAGAAAGGAGAGGGCAGCTCGGTGCATCATGATGCATCCCCCGGCAGTCTAGGCCTATAGCAGCACAACTAGGGGTGGACTTACCCTAACTATAAGCTCTATCATAAAGGAAAGTCTTAAGCCTACTCTTAAATATAGAGATTATATTTACCCAGTAGTTTAAGGGACACTGTTTGTAAGCTTCCTTCTTGTTGGCATAGAGCAGATATATTGTCCTATTGCCACATGTTGAACAGTTTACATAAAATACTAAGCCGGTCATGAAAAAAGACAGTGAAACTGAAAATCTGCTGGTATTGCAGTGAAAGCTTTAAGGTGTTGTCAATGCCCAATGTGGTATGTGCTGCCCTCGATGGAATGGAAACAATAATCACGGCTGTGTATGGGAACTCTTTGGGTACATAGAATGCACGGAAAACAAGTGACAGCAGTTCAATGTCTTGGCAGCATACCCTCTCTTTTAACACATGCATTAAGGGGGATTACTAATTTCTGCCCTTTCCGCCTACAATTCGTATTCAGGTCTTGGTCCATTCAAATGGCTATGAATGGACTACACAGCTGTTTGTTCCAAACAAGCCCCTTTAGCTCATCACAGTAGTTTGGAAACGAGTAACCTTTTTTCAAAATCACCGAGAGCAGATAAGCTTTGTACCCCCACCTTCTGATTTTCCTTTTTGCCTCCAGTTCAGCCCCATTTCTGCATGCAGGTACAGCTTGGACTGCCCAGGTAGGGCTTGAAGTTCATTCAACTTGTTAGCTAACGATCTCACGTTGCCCATTATGATGGATGGCAAAGATGGATTGAATTTCCTCCTCTCTCTGCTCTTTGCTGCTGTCCTGCCCTACATCCACAACTCCCCTTTACAAAGGAGCACTCGAGGACTTGAGTTGGATACCCCTGCTCCAGATGACATTTCTTTTTTCCTCTAGCAGAGAGAAGAACCTTGGAGTTGTTTTATACCAGAATCTCTCATTTGACTCATTTACATTATCACTTCCTTCTGCAATGCTCTCATGGTTTAGTCTTCCTTTGTCAGTTCATTAACAGTCTTCCTATCATTCAACTTGTCAGTTCCTATGTCAGATTCTTGTCCACTACACAGCCGTAAGTCAAGTAGTGTTGTTAGTTGTCATCGATATTCCTGCATCGTTAACTCTGTTCTCTGATTCCTTTCGTTCTCCAGTGTCCACTTAATACATTCTTGTTATCTCCTAGTTCTCAGGCTTGTTTCTTCGGTTTTTTTTTTTTTTTACAGATTTAGCATAGCCTTTTAGTATGCAGCTTTGCCGTTCCAGAATCATCCAGCGTGTAACTCAACATTCCACAGTTTAGAATGTTTTGAAAGATCATATTTCCTTAGTGTTGGTTTCTCTTGATTGTCTTCTCTTTATTTCTTGCTGTTAAAGTCAGAATGCAATATTAAAAATCTGCTCTAAATGAATAAGATTTGTGATATCTTCAAACACCTTTGTAATGACATATTTGACCAAAATAGGACTTCTGGGACACCCTTCGGTTAATAAAAGATTTAAAGCTTTCCATTTTGACAAAGCTTATCGTCAAGGATGGCACAGGTGACCCTGAAACTTCCCATAATTGTGCTACTGTATGTAGCTCTTGACATCTTGGAACCTTAAATGATGCACATTTCCTCACCCTGTTTCTTTCATTTTCACTTTTTTCTTCATAAACATGTAACTTTTTTTCTTGTAATTTGCCATTGTCCTGAGCTGATGTTGTGTTGGTTGTTGGCCTTTTTTCCCAATCCTATCAAAACTGTGGTCAAGGCAGATGGTCGGGTTCTGACAGAGATTTCTTTCTATTAAAAGGTAGTTTTTTTTCATTCCATGGTTAACTCGTGCACACACATGCTGGGAGACTGAAATTTTAAAACAGTTTTGGTGCAATCTGCTGGTTTCCTTTGATGGTTGCTTTTTAACTGGTTATGTATGAATTAGATGTATTTGGAATTTAATGAACTTGAATATATTTTTATTCTAGTACAATGGTTTGGAATCTAATGAGCTTGAATTGGATTGTATATTTGAAGTGCCTATACATAACATTGGTTGTGATTTTGCAATATGAAGGCGAACTTAATTGGATATGGGTGAGAGCATTAGCAACAGATGTTAGTATAGTTCTGGTTAATAAAATAGGTTTGTGCGTGTAATGTCATTCTTTTGTCTGCATGTGTGTGTATGATGTCTTTGTGTGTGAGCGTGTGTTAGCGTAACGTCTTTTCTTGTATGTTTGCAGGAATCTGTGGGACATCCTTGCTTATATGTGAGTGTGTGTACATCTCTCCCTATATGACAGCATAGCAACATACTCAGATTAGGATAAACATGTAGAAAATTACAAATTAAATTGAATGGGAAAAAATAGTGCACCGAATAGTACAAAAAGGGGATATTTGGAGTGGCACATGTTGCAAAGACCTCAATTCAAAATGTTCAAATATGCTTAAGTTAAACCGTCTTAAAAACTATGATGGAACTATCTTTATTCACTGCTTCAATCATCACACTAAATACAAATGTTTTTAATTGTCCCTTTAATTTTCAGCATGAATTTATGAGATCCATTTATTAAAAATACAACATTTCTGTCATGAAAAGGCATATCTGCTATAATTTATTAATGTTATGGCCGGAGCTTCAAAAGAAAATGGAAAAGTTTTTAAATGACATACACTGTGGTAAGTAAAAAGAATAAAAAGATCTATATACTGTAAAATGTACTACACTATTTTTCACTTTACACAAGTTATACTAACAGAGAATGTGCTGCCAAGGTTGCTAATTTTTCTTTGCACAAAACAGTTTATATATATATATATATATATATATATGTGTGTGTGTGTGTGTACAGTATGACATGTTTAGCAACCTGTCCTTAATATGTGACTGCATTTGTGTCAATAAGTGTGTGTTTCTGAATTGCTTTTAAACATTTAAACCATATTTATTTTGGACAGTGAGAAAGGAATTGGGTGGGTGGGTGACGAATTACAAACAGTAGGTGTGTAGAAAACTGGAATATCACACATAAAAGGACACAGAGGACCATGGAAGGAATAAAGGAAGAGGGAAAATAAACTGAGAGGGGAAAATATGTGGTCGATGTAGCTAAAAAAACACAAAGAATGGTCAAAAAGCATCTGAAGAAATGTGTGTACAATGTCCCTTAGACCTCTATTTAGATCCTGCTGAGCTGAGCTGTTCTGAGCCACTTAATACCCCCAAGATGATTTCTCTGGAGAGAACGCTCAAGAGCAGCATGTGCAGGCACAATCGCCTGTTGCCTGGATACCTCTGCTGTCATCATGGTGTAGAATAGCACGGACTAAGGATTGCTTGTTTCTGGCTTCTCTCTGCTATGGGAAAAATACAGCGGGCTAGCTTTCTGGATACCTCCCTATATGCATGTTTGTTGGCTGAGCAAATATTGCAAGTAAGAATTGGAACAGAATCAGTAATACATGGCCTTTCAGGGGACGTGGAAATGGTGCTGTCTCTGTAAAGAGTATCTAACCCTGTCTTAGATACAGAGGGCTTATTTGGCAAAAGGCAGAGAAAGTATAGAACTCAAATATAGAGAAAGTAAGCAACTCCACTGATCCACAGTCAAAATCCTCAACCTTCATTTTCAAAAAGGGATGTATACTGGCATTCAAAATGGAAATCCACTGGTATGTACCTGTTGTCAGAAGGTAATTCAACACCCGTAGTGAAATTATTTCTTTGTTCTGCAGTTTGAACTGTGAACCTCATGTTAGCTTATGTGCCCACCAGTGTATGCATGGGAAGCTTTCGTGTGAATGTGTGTGAATGTGTCAATTTGAGATGTTCTGAATCATAAGATGTCAGACTCTAAATTAAATTTATACTTATACAAATAGCTTATGCTTCCTGATACATGGTTATACAGAGATACTGAAATTTCTTTCATAATGGTTTCCTACTTTGGTGAGCTTGCTTTGCTCTCAACTGACTTTCAAAGGTGCGTCAGCCTGTTGGGATTTGAGTCAACATATTACAACTTGTTTTCAAATCAATTGCTCTCATTATAAAATAAGATTGTTTTATGCATTAAACTGAAGATGTATACGTTTCTGTCTTTGTGCCTTGTGTGCTGCAGTGAACAGAGTATCTGCCAGGCACGAGCTGCAGTCATGGTGTATGATGATGCCAATAAAAAGTGGGTCCCAGCTGGTGGTTCCACAGGTTTCAGTAGAGTCCACATCTACCACCACACAGGCAACAATGCCTTCCGTGTAGTGGGACGCAAGATTCAGGATCATCAGGTTAGTGGAAATCAACACAAGATTCATGTGCACTATTACTTTACTTCTTCAGAAGTATTCACTCCTTTTGAGGGGGTAATCCATGACCCAGGTCCCAAACACAAGGACGTGACTTTCAAAAATCATCCAGTAATTTGATCCATGAAAAAAAGAGACTTAACAGCTACTGTGACAGACCACGAATGAAAATTGCAAAATAAAAAACTTTTACCCTTCATTTAATGAGATCTAGCAATACTAACATTGTGGACAAATGATGTCCATATCCGTGCAATCAATGCAAGTTATGAGCTCAAACATAAATTTGCTATGAAAGGTGAGTCTATAACAGCAGTTATAAAGGGAACTTGTAGAAAGATATACAGTACATTGAAGCCAATGGTAAGGACAGTTAAAGTTGTTAAGAAGCAGGAATTTGGGTTTAGTTACAACACAATTAACATAACTTTGAAAAATCCACAGAACAATAAATCGAATTGAAAGAAGATATACCAAAGTAAACTAAAGGCATAGGTAGGTCAAAGGATATTATTCAGAATGACAATCAGTGCGACTGACACGACTCTGCAATATCGCGTGGCAATCAGAGGCAGATTGGCAGACTTGGGTGGTGGGGCCCTTTTTTAAAAGGGGGGACCCTATAGTATGTTCCAACTACAGGGGAATCACACTCTTCAGCCTCCCTGGGAAGTTCTATCCAGCAGTTCTGGAGAAGAGGGTCCGTCAGATAGTCTAACCTTGGATTCAGGAAGAACAGTTTGGTTTTTGTCCTGGCCGTGGAATAGTGGACCAGCCCTATACCCTCAGTAGGGTGCGTGAGAGTTCACCCAACCAGTCCACATCTGTTTTGTGGACTTTGAGAAAGGCGTTTGACCGTCCCTCAGTGAGATCCTGTGGGGGGGTTCTCCGGGAGTATGGGATACCAAGCCCTACAGGCTGTTAGGTCCCTGTATGACCGGTGTGCGCATCGCCGGTATTAAGTTGGACTCGTTTTCAGTGAGAGTTGGACTCCGCCAAGGTTGCCCTTTGCCTCTGATTCTGTTCATAACTTTTATGGACACAATTTCTTGGCACAACCAAGGTGTTGAAGGTGTCCATCTTGGTGGCCCTAGGATTGCATCTCTGCTTTTCGCAGATGATGTGGTCCTATTGGCTTCATCAAGTAGTTATCTACAGCCGAGTGTGAAACCGCCGGGATGAGGATGAGTGCCTCCATATTACTAATAGTATGATAAAATGTAGTAATTTTATTTCCTTCTAAGAGTTCCCAACGTAATTGGTTCCTACGTCACCTCGGGGTCAGCCCGAGGTGACGTATAATGACGTATAATTGCTGGTTGTGTTGTTCCTTACAATATTGCCATTATTAGAGGAAAACACCACCCTGCCCTATAAATTGAAGACCCTGATGAGGACCCTATCCACCTGCTAGCAATCCAAGACGGGAGAGTAGTGAGAGGCACCATCGGCCAGGGTCATTTCTCTCTTTTAGTCACCATCATCACCACCACAGCAGCAATAAAAACAGGAGACACATTTAATTTTCCAAAGTTTCCAAACTGTGAGTAAATCAATTCAGATTTACTGATTTAACTCCGAGTTTGTTGAACCTGCTTCGTGAAACGGAACCCAGGTGAAGCAGGGACTATAGGTGGAGAGTTCAGTTGATGGGGAAACACTGAAGACTCAAGGGAATTGACGCAAACAGGGATAGAAAAGGAAGACATAGGAAACTGTTAAAAACACAGGACTTAAACCTAGAAAACAAACAGGGACACAGCTAAAACCCAAGAAAATCAATTAGAAAAATGTGTCATTTTTTCATGGAGCCACATTATCATTAGTATTTTTATTTTGTATACTTATTTCATATAATCCCAAAACCTATGTCACGAAACTGCACAGAACAATATTATAATGTTTCTGTTTCTGCACAGAAATAGACTTAATATCATAAGTTGTAGGCAGGTTGATATTCTTAAAATCAATTAGGTACTTGATTTTCCTGTTTTTACAAAAAATTCCTGTAATCAAACGATTATCTTATTTTTCTTTTTTCTTTTCACTCTCCTGAAAAAATACAGGTGGTAATAAACTGTGCCATTCCCAAGGGGCTTAAATATAACCAGGCAACACAGACCTTCCACCAATGGCGTGACACTCGACAGGTCTATGGCCTCAACTTCGGAAGCAAGGAGGATGCCAATGTGTTTGCCAGTGCCATGATGCATGCGCTGGAGGTACTCAACTCCCAGGACACAGGTAATACTTTCTCAGACTGGCAACCATACTTGAAAAAATATTGCAGGTATATTGGCCACTTTCAATAAATGTAAATTAGGGCTGTCTGTCACAGATTATCTGGGCCAGGACCACCAGCGGCCCGTGGGTTTTAGTTGTGAGTGCATCATGCAGCATCACACTGCCAAATAACAGAATCTTACAGAACGGGTGGAACCCCAAGTAAGAAAATAAATAGTAAATGTGTCTGGTACAAACTTAACAAAGCAAAAACAATGACCAAACTCCAAACCTCAAGACGAGAAAAAAATAATACGGTATATGCTGCTCTGGGTCAGTGCTGCCGCGATTAGTCAAGGTAGTCGACCTAATCGATTGTGAAAATTCGTCGATGGATATTTTTCATTGATGAGTATTTTTTTGTCAGCCTGTTTTAATTTTTGGTCTAAGCAAACGGCTCATCTGAGTTCAGTTAATTCTGCTCCAGACCACTAGTTTTATCTGTGCGCACACCGCTGGCAAATTGGCTCCCTTTTCCTCTCCTGTCACGAGCTTCTGTTACTGTTGGTTCTGGTTTTGAGCATGATACGAAAATGGCGGCGGCGAGTGAGTCTGAATCAAGGACAGAGACATCTACTAGAAAACTAAGAGTATAGAAAGTATAGGAATACTTAAGGGCATAGAGTGATAGAGTGGTTTGTACACTCTAAGACTTTGTTGGCTTATCACGGAAGCACAATCGCAATGCTCGAGCACATTAAAGGGAAACACACAAGAGTATTTTTTCTTTTTCTAATTATTCAAGTTTTTTATTTTCCTTTAAACAATCAAACAACTACGGTACTTGCATGGTATAGTATACAGAAAGTAACAGCTTAACACACATGGTCAGACAATTAACGTAAAGATAAGGATAAAAGCAAAAATAGACGGTGTTCCTGGATGATGAAGGAAAGAAAAAAATAAATTAGAAAATAAGTAAAAAAATAAAAAATAAATTGCTACTGAGAAGTCAGGTACACTTGAAAGAAATGCCAATTATTTAACACCACCTGTCCTTTGCCTCTCAATCTAGTTAGCATAACCTCATATGATACCGTTTCAGTCGTTACCACTTTCCATTCCTGGAATGTGGGGTGTTCGGGTGCCTTCCAGTGTCTCAGTATAATTCTTGCCGCTGAGGTTAGCCCAACCATCAACACTGAGTGTACCTCTTTTGTGAGCTGTGGTATTGCTGTTTTGTCTCCAAGAAGACATATACGCGGACATAGTGGGAGAGTTATGTCCATCCATGTCCCTAGGAATTTCATTATTTTGTCCTAGAATGGTTTAACCAAGGCACATTCCCATATAAGGTGTAGAAAAGTATCCGTTTCTTTTTTACACTTCCAGCATATATTATTATTTATTAATCCTATTCTAAAAGGTCTGCATGGGGTCCAGAAGAACCTGTGCAGAATTTTATATTGAATACATTTACACCGTACTTCTTTGATATATTTACCATTATCGGCCAATATTTGTTCCCATGTGTCCTTGTCTATATTGCATTCAAGGTCTCTTTGCCAGATCAATCTTAAGTTTTCACATGAGCTACTGGTCAAACAAACTGTTTTATTGTAAAACACTGAAGCCCCATGCTTAAGTGGCAATTGCAGAAGCTGCAAAATTACATTGTCTTCTTTTGATGTTAGATTTATTTTCAATATGCATTGTCTAATCTGCAAGTACTTCCAGAAGTCACCCTTTTCCTGCAGATTATACTCCCGTACAAATTCAGCAAATTATTTACTAATACCTTCATTGAAAACATCACCAATAGTGTGGATTCCATTTTCTACCCACTTTCTCCAATATACAGTGCGTTTACCTATTTTAATTTCGGGATTGAGCCACAGTGAGGAATACTGCTGTTTGTAATGGGAGAGTTTGTGTAGCTTGTGGATCTTTGCCCACACTTCCTTAGAGTGTTGGACGACAGGATTTTTGTCCTCCACTAAGCCAGTTACCTGTTGGGATTACAACTGTTTGTGGTGAAATGATGTGGCAAGAGTCTGTTCTATATTGACCCAATTTAAGTCGGACGCATCTCCACTCCAGTGTTTAGCTATCTTGGACATTCCAAAAGACAAGTTGTACAATCTAACATTAGGTAAACTCAGCCCGCCTTTATCCTTGGGTGCATAGAGCTTATCCAGTTTAAACCTGGGCTTTCTCCCCGCCCAAAGGAATTCCTTGATGAGATTGTCATATTGTTTAAATATATTTTCAGGTATACTAAGAGGAAGCATCATGGATATGTAGTTGAACTGGGGGGCAATCACCATTTTAACAACATTTATTTTACCACATAGGGTAAGGTTTAGCTTTCCCCATTTACCTATGTTTGTCTTGGTTTTGTGAAGTAGCTTATCATAGTTCAAAGCAACAATCTCACCAAGGTCTGGGCACAACTCAATGCCTAGGTATACCATACCTTTTGGAATCCACCTAAAGTTGTACTGTGCAATTATTTGTGGGTGACAATGTTTGGATATTGGCATTGCTTCAGACTTGGTCCAATTGATTTTGTAACCTGAGATATGGGAATATTCACTGATAGTATGCACTAGGGCAGTTAGGGAGTTGCGGGTCACAAGTCAGAAAAAGAATGTCATCAGCATATAACATTAATTTATGATCACTTCCACCTCCATGTACTCCTTTAATGGTGGGGTTTGCTCTTATGGCTCTTGCCAGAGGTTCCAGGAAAATTGTAAACAACAGTGGTGATGTGTTCCTCTGGAGAGGTTAAAGAATGGTGAGGTCACGCCATTAGTCATAACCGCCGCTTTTGGATCACTGTACAATACTTTAATCCATTTCATGAAACCGGTTCCAAACCCAAACTCTGACAGGGCTGAGCAAAGGAACTCCAACGATACCCTGTCATACGCCTTTTCCGCATCTAATGACATGGCTGCCACTGGCGCAGTGCTGGAGGAGTTCAACCACACGATGTGCATCAGTCTTCTTAGGTTATCAGTAGAAGATCTACCTTGTAAGAAACCCACCTGGTCATGATGTATTAGGTCTGGCAATATTGTTTCTAGTCTCAGGGCAAGCACCTTGGCGAGTATTTTGCTATCAACATTAATTAGACTAATAGGTCTGAAGTTGCCTGGGTCTGTATGATCTCTGCCCTTGTTTGGAATTAGAGAAATAAGTGCTTCATTCAGAGATGGTGGGAGGGAACCAGTATGCAAGGCCTCGTCATACACTTTGGTCAAGACTGGTGTGAGGATATCCATGTACTGCTTTTAATATTCCACAGGGAATCCGTCGGTTCCAGGTGACTTCCCTACTTTCATAGATTGGATGGCCTTCTTCACCTCTTCCTGGTTTATCCAGAGTATATGCCTGTTGGGCTGACAACCTTGGGAGAGTTATTTTGTGGAAAAAGTTATGCAGTGATAGATTACTTGGCTCACCTTCTGAACAATATAGCGTCTCATAGAAAGTTTTAAAGACATCATTCATTTCTGTGGGAGATGTTACTAGTGCCCCATCTTTCTGTATGGCTGGAATTACATGCTGTCTGCTGTCTTGCCAAGAGCTTCTCTGTCTTCTCTCGCGCCTCATAGAATGTTGTTTTTAGTCTGAACAGGGCATATTCTGCCTTTCTATTGAATATTTCCTGTATTTCAGATTTACATTTACAAATATCATTTAACAGCCTGTCAGAATATTGTTCTGCCAGTTTTCTTTCCATTGTGATTAATTCTGCCTCCAATATTGTAACTGTATTAGTGTGTTCTTTTTATATTCTAGAGGTATGCGCTATAATTTTGCCTTTGATGTATGCCTTTGAAGCCTCCCACACCATAGCCACACTGTCCGTACTACCCATGTTTATCTAAAAAAATGATGACAAATCTTTTGCCAGTTCCTTCTGAAAAATGTCATTTTGAAGGATGGAGGTATTCATCCTCCATCTACCTCGTTTGAGTTTGTCTGGATTTATTTTAACACGGAGTTCAACGGGAGCATGATCCGACAAAGAAATGGCATTCATTTGGCAGTCGATGACATCATTGATTAGACCATGAGACATAGATATAAAATCTATACGCGAGTAGGATTTGTGGCAATGGGAGTAGAACGAATATTCCCTCTTACTTGGATTAACCATACGCCATATATCATTTAAACCATTATCTTTCATTAACACCTGGATAGCTGCTCTATCCTTAGGCAAAGCCGTTCCTGAAAATCTACTCTTATCTAAAGCACCGTCCAGAACCTGTTTTTTTCTTTTTAATGTGCTCATTAAATTCTATTTATTCAGTATTTAGTTTATTCATGTTATATTTACTTTTGACACACAGGTGACATTTTATGTTTTGGCCCTTGAGTTAAGAAATCTCAAAATTAAGTTCAAAATAAAAAGAACTCAAATGAAATAGCAATCCCTTGATTTTTGGGGAAATGAGTCATTAAGATTACTCTACTAATAGAAAAATAAGTCGAAAGATTAGTAGAAAATTAGTCATTAGTGGCAGCTCTACTTTACTCTTTTTTAACATAACTTGTAAACCAAAACAAGTAATAATGTCAGGTGGAGGCATTCTGTTTTGCCAACCTTAAACATTCCTCGAGGGGAGTTTTTCCACTCTGAATGATTGATTCTGAATTACTCATGTGCAGAGCTTTCACCGAAAATACAGCTTCAAAGATCTGAGGTCAGAAGGTGCATGCTACGAAAGCAGATGGAGGGTCTGAAGCTGTGAGGGATGCTATCAGTCTGAAGAAGTAGGCCTTTCGGCTGGGTTTGTCCCGGCAGTAGAGAGTTTGTGCATCGTTAGTTAAATGTTGGTTCGTGTCACTCAGTTATCCATGTCTTGATTATCCTAAGAGCTTGAGTAATGGCAACAACAGCGGCAAAGACATAAAATAAACTCCACAGAACAACGGCAGCATGTGAAAATGAATGAAGTGTATGTGTGTACATGAATGTGCAAAACAAAGCCTAGGTTTCACACATACTGTGTTCTGTAATGAGTGAATAGGGTCACCGAACACCCTCCA